GATCAACGAGCCGAATGCTAAAGCTTTGTCAGAAATGGAAAGCAGTATAATGAATCTTCTTCCTTGTTGTTCATGACAAACAATTTCTGCAACAAAGCTCACTCGGGTCGGTAGAAGGAAACGACCAAATTGTTGGCAAGCTGCTTCACGAAGTAAGGCCGAAGATGATACACGTGTGTTAATGGGAATTTTGTTGTTGTCTTTTCGCGATTCTGATCAAACTATGTCCTCATCCGTGTATAATGCAACAAAGCAGGCAAGCAATACATCATTATCCTGTTACCATTCCGATTGAGCTGTGTTGCAGAGAAAGTTTGAGTTTATCGTGGTAGTCGTAGCAAACGTTTTTTTTTTTCTGTATCGTGATTGCTTTATGTGTTTGGATTCACTGAGATAAATTGGAATTATGATACTTGAACTGAACTATTTTTTTTTCAGGTTCGGATTCTTAAAATGTTGTATGTGTTCGATATTTCGCAAAATTTGTGTTCAGAATCAAGAGTTTCACAGATTTGCCCTCCCCTTGGCTAGTTTTTGCACCTTGCTGTTGGTGGGCGGGCTTAATTTCATGCTAGTGGACTGTTGGAGACGGTGGGTTTATGGTCGACGTTGCTGGCTCATGCCGCGATAGAATGGCGTCATGGGCAGGCAATGGAGATTACTGAGCTTCCCCTCTCTGATAAACCACTGCATGAGAGAACCAAAGATCTAGTCTAGCAGTGATAGTATCACACTTGTTACTCCTTTAATTGAGAGCCGCGTCGTAGTACGCTTACGTATAGGCACTGACGTTGGGTGTGATACTGGCGGGTTTTGCCGCAAATCACTCTTATTTTATTTATTTTTTACGCAGATAGATTCATTTGGGTTTGCAAGGGAATTATACTATTGAAATATTTCAGAAAGTGCCCAACAGTGCTCCTTCTATTTGCGTGACAAGCTCATTGTTGTTTTCATTGAATTATTACTCAGGAAACAATGTTAAACATCATTTTTGTACATGGTATTGTAACTAATCTTATATGTGCTTCATTTTGATTTGGGATAAGTGTTTGAACTATGGCTCGGGATTTCCACTGTGGTGTGCTTCTATTGTGACATACCCATATGTATTTTTGTGGTGCCACATAGTGGAAGCGTGAGAGCGTAGTTGGAACATTTACCCTATACAATATACAATTTAAAATTAGCTTGGAAACTAACTTCAAAGTGAAGCATTTGAGTCACTTGAAGGTGTCATCTGGGACGAACAAAGATATAATTAATATATGTAAAAGCCAGAAGTACTTGAAACACGTTAAATTGTAGTTTAAAAGCATGGGTTATGATTGTGTAGGTAGATTAGAGATTTCAGTTATTTATTAAATAAACTTCAATTATAGAATTCAGAAAGTTAATTAACATAAGAGATAGGACGCGGGGGGACCGCTTAGGGAGGCGACTAGCCTATGAAGTTGTATAATAAATCTTCATATTTAGTGTATTTGTTAATTACAGACAATGTCAATAGCGAAAGTCATATCTTCAACCAGGCGCTTACGAACAAGTGAAGTTTTAGGAAAGTTGTGCCGGATCGACGATCGGATGCATTGTTTGCAGGAGCTGGTGCTTCCCTTTGAAAAAGTAATCAAGAAATAACCATATTATCCTGTAATTGATATTACTATTTTTATATATCAATGAAATTAGTCATGACAGAGTAACAGATGGGGAAGGACAATAGACACAAGTTGACACAATAAACAAGACAAGTGGGGGTTAATACACAAGACAAAATGACAAAATAAGTGACGACAGAAGACAAGACTGGGACAAAATCAACCTTAAAAAAAAGAATTCGCAATTATATTATCAAAACTATTTGGATCAGCACAAAAACAACAGTGACCAAACGGGCACCATAGCCTAGGAACGTCTGTGTGTTGATTTAAAATAGAGGCTCATAGAAGCAAAATTTATCAATAAAAGGGGTCCATTGTAGAGTTTAAGCAAGTGCTGCCACTGGATGACTACAAAAAAAAAAAGAATCAAGAGTTTCACAGATTTCTTCCAAGTCCCAGAATTTCAATGAGTTCTTTGTTACAGTATCTCAGTTGCTTCAATAGGTCTTAGTTTTTTTTTTCCTCAAAATGAGTCCCGAATTATTATTTTTTTTTCAAATTTAGAATCTTGCAGTCCTCAGGGTCCAAACACAACTCTGAATTCATTCTGTTAAGACGTTTATGAGTGGTTTGGAAAAACCCACAGAGCTCTAGGATGAGTTTCATTAATTGGTCACTTTTACGAATGTTCCAGATCTTCTAATTGACCATCCCATGGTTCCGAGGGTTCAGATTCCGGTCACAACTCTGAATTTATTCCGATAAAATGTTTATGAGTGGTTTCGAAAAAACCCAGATGCTTTAGGCTCAGTTTCAAGAATTGACCACTTCTACTGATGTTTCGGATTTTCCGGAGGACCATTACGTGATTCCCAGGGTCATATTCTGGTCACAATTCCGAATTCATTCTAATAAGACATCTATGAAAGGTTTATAAAAAAAAAAAACACGGAGTCCTAAGATCAGTTTCATGAATTGGCAGTTTTTACGGATGTTCCGGATCTTTCGGTGGATCATCTAAAGTTCTAGTCACAACTCTGAATTAATTCTGATTAGGCGTCTTTGAGTGATTTTGAAACCAACACGGAGCTCTACGATCAGTTTAATTGATTTACCACTTTTACGGATGTTCCGGATCTTCCGATGGACCATACCGTGGTCCCCAAGCATTCTGATAAGACGTTAATGAGTGGTTTCAAAAAAACCGCGGAGTTCTAGGAAAAGTCATAAATTGATCACTTTTACTGATGTTCTAGGTTTTCCTGGGGACGAGACTTGTGGATTTTCGGATGCAAAATTGGTCCACCATACCGTGATCCCCTGGTTTCAGATTTCGGTCACAACTTCGAATTCATTATGATAAGACGTTTATGAGTGGTTTCGAAAAAAAAACACTGAGCGCTAGGATCAGTTTCGTGAATTGACCACTTCCACGGATGTTTTGGATTTTCCAGAGGACCATTACGTGATCCCCAGGGTAATATTTCAGTCACAACTCCGAATTTATTCTAATAAGACGTTTATGAGTGGTTTCTACAAAACCACGCAGCTCTAGGATCAGTTTCATTAAATGACCTTTTTACGGATGTTCCGGGTCTTCCTGGGGACCAAACTTGTGACTTTTCGGATGCAAAGTTTTCCCAAAAGGTGGTCATCTATCTTGTTACTAACTTTTCAGAAGACACCAGGAAGTTATCTCTTCAAATTACCCTACAATAATAGTTTGTCCCCAATTAGCTTTAATCCCATATGGTGTACTCGTGTACCCGTGTACTTGTTAATACCGGTTCCTAAAGTGCGGTATCTATTAACCGTACTATAGGCATCTTGACCACTTTTACCGATGTTCCGGATCTTCCGGTGGACCATCTCGTGGTCTCCAGTGTCCATATTCCAGTCACAACTTCGAATTCAGTCTGATAAAACGTCTAGGAGTGATTTCAAAAAAACTGCTGAGCTCTAGGATCAGATTCATGAATTGACCACTTTAACGGATGTTCCGGATCTTCCGGTGGACCATCCCGTGGTCTCCAGTGTCCATATTCCAGTCACAACTTCGAATTCAGTCTGATAAAACGTCTAGGAGTGATTTCAAAAAAACTGCTGAGCTCTAGGATCAGATTCATGAATTGACCACTTTAACGGATGTTCCGGATCTTCCGGTGGACCATCCCGTGGTCCCCTGGATCCATATTCATGTCAAAACTTTGAATTCATTCTGATAAGACGTCTAGGAGTGATTTCGAAAAATCTGCTGACCTCTAGGATCAGATTAATTCCGGATCTTCGCGTTGTCCATCCCGTGGTCCTTTGGGTCCATATTCAGGTCACAACTCCAAATTAATTCTGGTAAGACGTCTATGAGCTGTTTCGAAAAAACCGCGGAGCTCCAGGATCAGATTCATGAATTGAGCACTTTTACGGATTTCCCGGGTCTTTCGGAGGATCAGACTCGTGACTTTCCAGATGCTAAATGTTCCCAAAAGGTTTTATGTTTAATAACTATGCAGGAGACACCAGGAAGTTATCTCTTCAAATTACCCTACAATAAACGTTTGTCCCCAATTAGCTCTAATCCTATATGCTACGTGTATTCGTTATTGCCGGTTCCTATAGTGCGGTCCCTATTAACCGTACTATAGGAATCTTGACTGTATAAAGTAGGTTACTTTAATGGTTCCGTAATGGGCGCTGCATGGTTTAGTAGCATTCAGACCTGAAAGTGCCATTCTTTTTAAATGGTTTTCTGGAGAGCGATTTTCTGGGAAACAGTCCATTCTGGGGAATGACATTCTGGTGCACGACTATAGGGCGAATGTCATACAATACAGTAATCCACTCAAATGCTGCAATACCCCACCGAAATTATAGACATCCGAACATCATGAAACAGGCACTCCCGGTTTAGTATTATTTAGTGGTTCGACATCATACGATGCCTTCTTCAACATTGGTCAACAGATCGGTTTCTATGATGAAATCACGCCACCACTTGTCGGTTACTTCTCTCATCTTTGGTGGTTCGACCAGCAGCAATTGAACCCAATTGAACAAAGCAAACACCACCCATCAACCAATCGACTAGACCCGATGTAGACCAGCACGCGATCCAATCGAACGAAAAAAAAAAAAACAACAAACTCAACACAACTCGACGGCCGGCCACCGTGGACACATTTTTATTAGAATGCATTTTTTTTTGCTGACCACCGGCAAAACGCATCGTCCGACAATCGTTTAATAAACAGAAAATATGAACCCCCCGCCGTCAGAAGGGTTACGAAGTTACAGCGACCGTTCATGCTTCGGTTGAGTCTTTTTGAATATTCAAACCAGCTAGTTACGGATGGAATCGTAATTAATCAAGTTCTAATTTGTGCCTACTTCTCTCAATTTCAGATTTCCAGCTGAGGGTGTGTTCGATTCGTTTCTCACCGGATTTCACCGGTCCGGAAGAAGAAGAAGAAGTAGAACCATTGCGGTTTGGTTGTGGGCGCAAGCTTCCTAGTGCAGGGCATTCGTCGTGTCGTCGTTTTCGTAGTTGTCCCAAGTGCGGAAGAAGCGGTACCTACCTTCTGAGGTCTGAGCACAGAGCCTCGGAAGAGCGGACGTGTAATAAGAGGTAGGAGTGTCAACTCCTGACAAAAAAAAGGAAGATCAGACAAAAAATCAGAGCGAGTACTACTCTGCAACAAATCAGTAATCGTAATACCGTGTGGTGCTTTGTAAACACAGTAACAAGAAGAACATCAGCAGCAGCAACAACAACAACAGCAGCATGGGTGACGCTATCAACTTTGGACCTGCGTGGCTGCGCAAAGTTGCTACCTTCGATAGTAACGCTGTGAGCAGCATTGGTGGACCCCCCCATAGTAATAACAACAACAACACCAGTAGCAGCAGCAGCTCCAGCACCAGCAATAATCAGACCAACAGTAACAACAATAACAACAGCAGCAGCTCCGGTTCAGCTGGCGGCGGTGGTGGGGGTGGTGGTGGCAGTTCGGCAGCCCTGGCGGCTGCCAACGCAGCGGCAGCAGCAGCAGCAGCGGCGGCGGCAGCTTCCACGACCACCCGTTACGCACTGGCCGAGTTCCGGTATGGGCGGGAGGAGATGTTGGCACTATTCGACGTGAAAGCGGTCAAAACGCCAGAGATACTGGTCAACTTCAAAAACTTGTTCGTTGACAAGGTGCAGTGTCCTCTGGCATTGACCCCTTGCACCGACGATGACGTGGTACCGGAACCAGATACTAGGGTAAGTGTGGGTTTACTTTCCGGTTCCGAGGAAATGAAAAATGATCTCTCTTTCAGCGTACATGGCAAACGAGGAGCATTTCGTTGGGTGTGCCAGGGCGTGGCGCCCGTGGTGGTTCCGTTGATCGAGGAAGAGGTCGTGGTAGAGGCATCTATCTCGGTTATCAACGGTCAACCTCTTTCTACGACGACGAGTCCAGAAGCGTGGGGAGAGTAAGTATCGATAGCGCTAGTATGAGTGGTGGTATTCAGGAGTAAAAACTTGAATATCTCGTAGGGTGAACGACCATGGCTGGAACGCAACGGTACCGGTGGACCCCTCGGTGGCAGCGGGGGTGCCGGCGGTGGCGAGGTGGATTGGAACAGTTCCTCTTCGTCACCCCGGAAGGAGTTCGGGGTACGGGCTAGGACGGCCAACATGGAAAGTTGGCGTCGGGCCCGTCCGGATGACGAACCGAGCGCTACGGACTGGCGCAGTGGCAGCCTGAACACCAGTGGTGGTGCTGGTGGTAGTGGTGGTCTGTCCGGGTCAGGCTTGCGGGACAAGTGGTCCCGTTCTACCAGCTGGCGCGAAGAGGACGGTGGTACAAACGATGGCTCCGGTTTAGGTCGGCCTGGGTTGGGTGGCTTACATCCGTCGTCTAGCAGCGAACGGATGATATCGACTTCGGGTGCCTACAAGCCTCGTCTGTCGGCGCTGAGTGGGGCTGGTGGCGCTGGGGATATGAGTTCCAGTGGAGGTTCCGGTGGTACCGGACCGATGAGTGCACTGAGGCGCAACTGGGATACGGAAGACCAACTTCCTGAGTGGGCGACGGAGAATCCTTCCGATTACGGAGGAAGTTTCGATGCCAGTGGAGCGTTCCATGACTCCGATAACGACGTCGATGGTCGGCTGGACGACGACGGCGTCAAGCAGAATCATGTGGACAGAAAGGAAGGGTCAACAGCGAGTTCCAGGAAGAGTACTTCTTCGAAAGAAGGAAGTGCGACAAAAGAGGTGCTGCCGAATCATTTGTTGGAAAAGCAAGAGCCGGTAAATGACTCCCAGAAAGGTGGTAAGCGTGAAGAGCAGAAAGTGCTCGACCAAAAAGAGGAAACTGAGTCCAGTAAACCGAAAGAGGATTGTGTTAGCGTAAAGGTACTGTCATCGTCGCGAGAGTCCATTAGTTCACATCCTTCTTCGGTAGATCCTCCAAAGACAACGCATGAAATGGCGGCTGAAATTGAGATCCCGAAACCGGCCGCCAACAGCAGTACCATTGACACGAGTGCTAAGCCTAGCGAGAGTCCAAGCAGGGGTCGTGATACGCAGTCCAGGGATATGCCGAAGAAGTCTGCTTCCAGTTCGAGTGTGGATCGTATGCAGGAAGTTGCTGACGATATGGTGGCTCAGTTGATCATGGACGACGAATATACGGGCACTGGTGAAGCTGATCCCACACCAGTGCCGCGATCTCTGGACAAGTCTCCCGTACTGGGTGCTCAAATTCCAATCAACTTACTGCTTTCGAAGGAACCCGTCGCGATGCAGCAACTGTTTGGAAACAGCAGCGCAGGTAGTGGCAATCGGAACATGCTTCTCTCGGATGTTAATCGATCGATGTTGCATGGTGTGGGTCCTCAAATACCACCGATCCACCATCCGGGGACGGATATCTGGTACTACAGGGATCCACAGGGCAAGGTTCAAGGTCCGTTCCCGGCTTCGGAGATGACCGAGTGGTATCGAGCCGGTTACTTCGATGACTCCCTCTCGGTGCGTCGGGCATGCGATGAAATCTACACGACCTTGGGGACGCTTGTAGCTCTCTGCGGCGGTGCCATTCCATTTTTGAACTCGATGAGTATACCACCGATTAAGAGTAGTAGTATTAACGCGAAGCAACAGCAACAGCAGCAGCAGCAACCTCAGCCTCCTCAAGCTCCAACTAGCTCATTCCAACAACAGAAACCTGCCTCCACTCTACAGCATCTTCAGCAGCAGCAGCAGCAGCAAGCTCCGCCTCTGGATTCGGATCTGTCGGTTCAGTTGCAGTTTACCAAAAAGCTCCACCAGTTGCGCCAACACAGCCTGATCATGCAGAAGCTGAGCTCGACCGACGGTTGGCCACTGCTCTCGCAGGAACAACAGAATGCCATCATTGCCCAGCATATGGCGCAGTTGCAGCTGACCGACAGTATGTTGATATCACCCTCGCTTCCGACGCCTACCAGCTCATCGAATCCGCCGAACCCGGCAAGTATTTTCGGTGGTGTCGTGCCACCGCAGGATTCGCTAGTCAATCTCAAACAGGCGCAGCATCAGCAGCAACAGCAAGCACAACAGGTTCAAGCTCAGCAGCAGCAACAGTCGCAGCCTGGTCAGCATCCGGTGTTGGAACAGCTGCAAAAGTCCAACAGTCTTAGCAATGCGTTCCAGAAGATGCAACTGTCCGACTTTGGACAGCCGCAACCCGGACGACCGATGCTTGGTAAGTTTATAATGGTAATTTGAATAGGTTTGCTTGCAGGCCATATCGACGGACGTTTGTCTTCTTTATTCTCTTTGTGAATTTTAACAAAACTATGAATCATTGCCCATAACAAACAATAACGTATAGTTTCATACAAACCGGAGAAGGTTGATTCAAAAATTCAATTAGTTTTTTCGCTGTTTTTGGGAGAAAGATATTCTTATGGCTGGTATTCAATGCATTCATATATTAGGCCGATATTCAGCACCGGCATTACAAACGTATCCGCAAAGTTTTATCAAAATCGCAAAGTGTCCCTGCTCTTAGGTGAGGGTAATCGCAGATGTACAACCTTCCTCTTTCAAATTTCAGGCAATCTGAACGTCGATCCCACTGCCGGTCACGACCACCTGGGGCAACTGATCCACAACATTAACTTTAATCATCAACCTCCAGTACAAAACCTTCCACTCGGCTCCAATATGTTGTTGAAGCATAACCTAATAGGCAATCTGACGCCGCAGCAACAGCAGCAGCAACAACAACAACAGCAGCAGCAACAACAACAACAGCAACATCAACAACAGCCATCGCAACAGCCGCAAGTACCAAAACCGAACATTGAAAGCGATCCAATCCAGTCGTTGTTGATGCAGCTGTCGATGCATAAACAACAGCAACAGCAACCGCCACAGCCATCGAAAACACCGGTGGAGCTAATGTCTCCGTGGTTGCAAACGCAATCGATGCCACCGCAACAACCGCTGCAACCGGGCCTGCGTCCGTTGATCAGCGGTTGGGGCGATCTGCCTCCAACGAGTGCCTCTTTTGGCTCGCTTCTGCAACAACAACAGCCACCGTCATCTCAGCCACAGCCACAGCATCTAGGTGGTCATCCACTGGTCAATGCCAGCTCTGCTGCCAGCGAGCCCCAGGCACCGTCGGTTGTATCGCTGTTCAAGCATCATCAGCAGACCGAGAAGCAGAACCAGGAGAAACTGGTTCCTGAATCTCATCAACAGCAGCAACATTTACAACAACTGCAACATCAACAACAATTGCAGCAACAACAACAACAACAAACTCAGCATCATAATCATCAGCAACAACAGCCACAGCAAGGCAATCATCAGCAACAACTTTTCGAACGTACTCACCAGAAGCAGCAGCAGATTGAGAATGCCGTTACTCAGCAACAACAGCAGCAGCAGCAGCAGCAACAACAACAACAACAACAGCAGCAGCAGCAATTTGCCCAGAAACCTTCGAAAGAAGATAGAAAGGAGCTGGAGCATCTTGCTCAACAGCAACTGCAACAGCAGCAGCAGCAGCAGCAACAACAACAACAACAACAACAAATGCAACAACGGCATTTCCAACAGTCAACCAAACAGGAAAAACAACCGAAACCAAGCCAGCCGAAGGCAGTCAACAACATTGACGTTGAAGAGCAACAAGCTCAACAGCAACAACAGCAGCAACAACAACAGCAACAACAACAACAGCCAGCTGGTAAATTTCCACAGCAAAAGGGTAACAAGAAGCAACAGCAGTCGAATCAACAGCATAAGCAGCAGCATCCCGACGACGATCAAGGTGAGTTCATCAACGTGAAGAAAGAGATGGAGGAGAAGAAGCGCCAAAAGGAGCTGAAAAAGCAACAGCAAGAGGAGCTGAAGCGCAAGCAGCTCGAGGAGAAGAAGAAGCAAGAGGAGATGGAAGCACAGAAGAAGGCCAAACTTTTGGAGGTGCAGCGTCGCGAAGCGATCAAGATTCAAGAACAGCAGCAACAGCCGCGTCCCGCTACGAAGGTTGCTCCGTGGTCCGCTTCGGTTGCCGAAACGGTCAACAGCGGACCCAGTCTGGACGAGATTCAGAAAGCCGAGCGCGAACGGCGTGCTGCCTTGGTTCGCCAGGAGCAATCACTCCGAGAGCAACAGCAGCAGCAGGAGATCATAGAGCTGCAATCGCACCTGGATAGCAAGCTCAAGTGGAATGCCCAGAACCTGGGTCCGCAGAATGTGAAATCCCTGGCGGAAATCCAGGCCGAAGAAGCGGCATCCGCGGAACGTACTCGCGAGAAGAATGTCGCTGCTCTGACTGCGGCTTCCATTGCTGCTTCCGTTGCGAAAGCTCCAAAGAAGGAAGATCTGCTCGGAACAGCCGTTTGGCAGAGCCAAGGCAGCGTCCTGACCTGGAACACGGCCAAACTGTGGGCCAATTCGGGCGATGAGCAGAACAATGTTAGCTCCGGAGGTTTCTGGGAGGAACCAAATCCCTCGAACAAGAACGGCCGTCATAAGCAGAACCATCAGCAATCTGCCCAACAGCAGCAACAGCATCAGCAGGCACAGAATCAGAAGCAGCTGCTGAGCAAGAGCAAGACAATGGGTAGCATTTCGACTACTTCGTCTTCGAATGCCGTTGCCGCTGCCAAGCAACAGCAGCAGCAGCAGAAGAACCAGATGCACCAACAACAGCACCCACAGAATAAGAACACTGCCAAGGGTTCTTCCGGTGCTGGTGCTGGCAAGAACTCGGGCGGAGCTTCCGGCGCTGGTGGCGATCGAAAGGAACGTGGCCACGGCGGCGAGCCAACCAACGAGTTCACCAGTTGGTGTACCCGTGCGCTGACCTCGCTGAACAGCAATGTTGATAGTGAGTGCGGGGTAAATTAGTGTGCGAAAGCAGTTTCAATTTCACGTTTCCCCCCAAATTTCAGTTCCGACGTTCGTTGGCTTCTTGCAGGACATTGAATCCCCGTTCGAGGTGAAGGACTACATCCGGCTCTATCTCGGTAAGTGTGATTGTTCGATGGAAAATTTTGCCTCAAACTGAACTATGTGTGCGTGCGTGTGTGTGTGTGTGTGCGATCAATTTACGTAGGTGAAACGAAGGAATGCGCTGAATTTGCCAAACAGTTCCTGGAAAGACGCTCCAAGTACAAGAACCAGATGCGCCAGAAGAATGCCCACATCGACGACATGTGCAAGCCGGCTCCGGCCATCAATCCGTCGTCGAATGACTTCATGGAGATCAAGGTATTTTTTTCTGATTTTGTTCTAACGTAGGACTACACGTCGGCTATATATGAAGCACTTGTTTTTAAAGCTGTCGTAGAAGATATTTTTCGGAGTTGAACCAATGCGTCGTAGTCCTACGTTACGGCAAACCCAGGTCATTTCTTTCCGATTTCCCATCCTTAAAAATTTGTCCACCTTCTTAACAGGGCAAAAATAAGAAGGTGAAGAAAAACAAGATGACCAAGCTCGACAATCGCTGCCTGGGCTTCTCGGTGACCGCTGCCCCGGACCGTCTAAACGTTGGCGACCGCGACTACGGCGACAATGCCTAATCGGCAGGCAGAAGAAACTCGCAAAGGTAGGACCGACGTTGATGGGAAAACACACATTGCTCTTGGCCTGGATGGTGGTGAGAACACACATTTTGAAACACACACCCACACACACACATATATACATACACGCGTACAGGTTTAGAGGAAGCATAGGATTTTGGTTTTCTCCGAAAAGTGCAAAACGGTGCGCTTTCGATGGCACGACAAGATAGGCAAGCAAGTATAACCGATTTGCGGTGGTTTTCATTCTACAAGCAAGTACTATAGGAAAATGATGAAAAACATACATTTTTGGCGTTCCTTGTTGCATAAGAACACATGATAGATCATAACATACACACATTTAACCACGCGAATATCAGAAAATTAATCGGAATTACAATAGGAGGACACCGCCAGATGCACACGCAGCCGATTTACGAGGAGGATCCACTGCGGAACTGCGTTTTGAGAAAGTTAGTAGCCGACAAAAGGATGTGGTGTGTAGATGAGTTTAGGAAAAGTTTTGTGTGTTTCGTTACCCCGTTATTGCCCTTGCACCCATTATTACTGTTTCACTGTTCATCGAAGCGAAGGTGATTTGGTCGCTACTTCTTGCTACGTTTTCTGAATTAATATTCGTTCTGAATGGAATTGTGAATTGATTTCGAATTGTTAGCAAAAAACCGGAAGCCGGTATGATGTAAGATTTGTGATTATGTATATAAATATGTATGAAACGAGAAAGGACTGTTGTTGAAGCTTGCCAACTGCTGTATTAATCTGATCTGCGGGGACTTCTAAGAACTATCGTAATCGTATATCAGGTATGTTAAACCAAAAGGGCAGCTAAGGGAACGTAATATTTAAGCGATAAATGCTTCTTAAACCTTGGAAAAATGCTCCTTTAATGCGTAGCTACTCAGATTTACTGTCCTGTCCGTGTTTTTGTCTTGATCAGAGGAGCAGAGCGACGGGCAAGCGTCGAGAATGAGCTTCCAGAAGAAGCTTCTATTAGAAGCTCATTATCGACGCTTGTCCGTCGCTCTGCTTCCCTGACTAATTACGCAGGCAGAACAGTAAATCTGAGTAGCATTAGTAAAGGAGCATTTTTCCGAAGTTTACGAAGCATTTCATCATTTTAATATTCCAAAAACCATTTTCTCAAAAGCAATTTTGGATTACTTTTTCGAATGGACGTATCAGGTTTTGTAAGCAATGCATTTGATCGTTGATTTGGCGTAACTGGTAGCTCTAACACTACCATCAAATAGGGGTTACGCCAAACGGATCATCAAATGCATTGTTTACAAAAGCAGATACGTCCATTCGAAAAAGTAATCGAGAAATGTTAAATTAAAATGAGGGGTCAATTGAGTGTCTCCTATCGTCAGGTTAGGTCCAGATAGGATTCCGAAGGCACAAGTGGATTACCCAAATGCACAGTTCTTTTTTATAACTCAAGACTTCCAATAATGAGTGAAAAATAAGCGTTGAAACTATCTCCATAAGTTCATAGGGAGAAATCTGCCGGGGTCCCAAATAGATTAAAAAAAGCGGACCTTTTCAAGAAATATTTGTAACACCAATGAGTATGATCCAAAAATTCCTGCACGAAGACCTCCTTTCAAGGTCCCCCGGGATGAGTCATAAACCTAGCTTATGCTCTGGGATAGTTACTGGAAGAAGTCTTATATGATAAATCTTAGTGGGATCTACAGGTGTCCAAAAGTATTTTTCAAGAACCACCAGGTATCTAGAAGTTATCTTCAAGTGGTCTCCAGAAGCTATCTTCTGGGGGTAGTCAGAGTTTTTCCTCTGGAGGCATCCAAAGTTTTTCCTGTGAATGTATTAAGAGACTTCTCTAAGCTGGTGTCCAGAAGCTAGGATGGATTTCTATAATTTTTTCTGAAAATAACCAGATTTTATCTTTAAAAGTGGAAGAATTTAAGAAAGCAAAACGCAGCCCACTTATGGAATTTCCGATTGACCAACTCTTTGCTAAAAGTGAAACCACTTCTAATTAGTTTGACGAAACACATAACTTCCAAACGAACGAATTCAAGTTACTACCGAAGACAATATATCAAGAAAACTTCTGGCAAGCCTGCCAGAATCCACAGCGTCAAATGCAGGTGCGCTGCACTCGAGCAAAGATAGAACCACCGCATACAAACATAAGCGAAGACGTAAACCTTTCTACTTTGGTTGACTGCTTCGCTATCAAATTCGTTCGGAGCTTTTTCCTCTGAGTTGTAGATGGCGGGATTGTGTACCGAATGCTTGCGATTGACCAGTGTTCTTAATATGCTGTCTTCGTTACTACATAGTATGAATTTTAAGATGATCATCAAACGCCTGTGTGTTTTTTTTAAAGTAAATTAATTTGTGTGTGTAAATTATGTTTTAAAATTATATAGAATTCATAACACTGATAAATAATCAGCATATATAACAGATAAATCAAGAGAAACCATAAGTCAGACTATAGTCAAAATTTAGCAAAACAAAAAACCACAAGTATCGTATCCAAAATTAGAATACATGAACCTACCAAATTACTGTTAAAATGCTAGCAGAAAAATAAACACCCATCTACCGGTCGAACAGAGAGAAAAACTGCGGATTGTGTGTTTTCCCATCCGCCGCCAGGAGGCGGTCTACTACAACTATTGTTAGGTAAGTGGAAGAAAATCATAGAACCCAGTTTCGATAAGTAAATAAACATTGAAAACAATAAGCTGTTAAACACAAACAAACCAACAAACAGAAAACCTAAACCTAGCTCTAAAGGAAAACAACAGAAAATCATAGTTAAGTCTTAAGACAATGCGATGCGGCAAGCACTCTGGAAAACTAGCCTAGCCATTCAATCGAGCTGCACCTTCTGAGCGGTTTGGGCCTGGTCCGGAAACCACACTTCAAATGGACCGCTCCGGACCCTTACCGTAGAGAGAGAGAGAGAATTGAACGAGTTGCACCAGTGAGAAGCGAAGGCATCAGCAGTAGCAGCTAAAAACCAAATATGATGAGCTTCCACACACACACACACACACAGAGAGAGATCGATGAAGAACAAAGGGCGGCGTTGCGAAACTCGTTAAACAGCAGGGCAAAAGAAGAAGAAGAAGGCGTTACACGTTGGTTGACACACCCCTGACGACGAATGAAAAAACTATTGTTTTCTTTTCTTTTCATTCGATCATTCGAAACTCTACTAGGGAAACGGCGGGGGGGCTGCTGCATCAGAGACATTTAAATTAGACAGAAAGGAATCTTATTGTTCAATCCCGAATGCGAGGAAAGCTGATGAATTATTCTATTATATTACATTGAAACATAACACTTATTACAACGCTGATGATTATGACGGCGACGACTATGATGATTGATACTGATGCTGATGATTGATCGTTTTACTGTATTTGTTTAAAAAAAGAAAATATTACCCTTATTATACACCGACCACTTTCCTTTCTATTGAAATGATGTTTCTTTAGAGGCGGCGATGCGGAAGGGCTCGCGTTAAGAAGCGAAAAAAAAAGAGAAGAAGAACAAGCAGCGCACGGAAAGCGCAAAAACTTGAGGAGAACACAAAAAAAAACAGAGAAAAGTAAGAAAAAGAAACACTGTAATTAAGAGACAGAAAACCGAGAAGAAGAGGAACAACAGAAAATGATAATTTACATAATTTCGTATATAAAAAAGGAATAAAAATTAGAAGTTATATATCCTTGGAAAATTAAAACAAACATATTTCTATTGGGCAGCTGATTCGAGGATGGAAACGAAAGAAACGCCCTGCTAAACTTGACCCAGTTGGAGTGCATTTGTACTCATCGTCTAGCAAGCCAGCCAAACAGACGATTCGAACGAGATGATATCGCAAATGAAAATGCCGCGTTAAATTGGTCCTTTGTCCGGTAGGTAATGGTGCTTTCATTCATTCGTCAAATCGTCTCGTAAACAGCTATTCCATTGAGAATAAACCGCTCCCGCGCTTGCTTGAACCTTAGATCTATTTTACAAATCGAAATTACGAGCAGCAATAGCTTAATTTAGCTACTACGCTACACAGGAAGTACGTCAGTGCTCTGAATTTAATGTGATAAATTCTACCATGGCGACAAGGAATGCTGCTTCAGCCAAATACGTTCACTTAATTATTTGTAGACGATTGAAAAGGTCGCCCGTAACGTGGGTAGATCACCTTGTAGTGGTGCGTTATGGTTCAAGATGTAATGCGAATCCTAGCTCTGGTCTCTTCGAAGTCAGTCCTGCCCAGCTTACATAACCAAGGCGGTGGGCTCGTTGATTCCATACACTTCTGTAGGGCGGTACAGTCTCATTTGTTTATTTGTATATTGAAAAATTCAACTGACAATTATTGTCTAAATGAATAAAACTTAAACTAAATAGTTACGGTCAACGGTACGGAAAAGGCCAAGTAACCGATGACGAAACACGTCAGCTGATACATTTAAGTCGAACATATAAAAGAAGTTGTTTAATTGCCGGCTGATTGCTCGAATTGGCTCGTGTTGTGTATAATTTCGGCGCCGTGGTTCCAAAAACAGAAAGTCGCGTTGGTTCGATTCCCAGGAGACGGCAACGCTCCTCTTGCGGTGGCAAGTTTACTGGGTCACGCCAGTTGACGAAACGAAGAGCATATCTCACAAACTTGCGTTGAACGGATTCAATTCTAGTGATCCAGCTAGCATGGAAAGGGCACCAAACAACCAAACTTGACTCGAATAAGGATCGCACAAGCGAGCAGTAGAAGAGTGACCTGAGGCATAGCGGGTCACGGAACTCGTCAGCAATTTTGAAAATAAATCCCAATTGTCGATTAGCTCTGGAGATGATGTCCTTGTAGTGGATTCTGAAAGTGAGTCTGCAGTCCAAGGTACCGCCGAGATCCTTTATGTGCTCTACACGAGCAAGACAGCGTCCGTAGAGAACATAGTCAAACATGTTCTAATGGAGCGAGTTGACGATTGTCTACACTTACATTTCCAAAATTTTTTACGGGCAATCGTCTACGCAGGAGGAGGGGAGGGGGTTTAAAACTTCTAAAAACAGTCTAGTTTATCAACAGCTAAAGTCTGTTCCATTTAGAATTAGGCCGCACAAAATAGGTTATTTCTCCAAGGGGAAATAATGTACAAAAAAGCTAAAGGTATCATTTCGTAGGATTTTTATTTAGTTTTAAGGGAAAAATACAACAAAATGTATTCGTCAGCTTTTCGGATGAATTTTCGAACTTTTCGCGGAATACCTCTCTTCATGTCTTGCACAGTAGTACTGTCAACCTCATCTACCATCCTTTTCCACCACTTCTCCAAATCAGATGGTGTTTTGATTGTTTTGCCACATTTCTTCAATTTGCGCTTGATAATTGCCCAAATTTTTTCAATGGGACGAAAATCTGTACAATTTGGTGGATTGATACTTTTCTCAATAAAATCGACATTATTCTGCTTATACCATTCTATGACATAGTGGCTGTAATGGCAGCTGGCTAAGTCAGGCCAGAACTTTACGGGATCTTTGAATGAACGGCAAAATTATGTTCTGGAGACACTCCTCCTTGTAAAGTTGTCCATTCATAGTCGCTCCAGTGATGAAATTTGAATTTATCCGGAGCATCCTCCTTACGCTTAGCAAAGTAAAATTTTTGGTCTATTTTTACGTAAGTTTCATCGTCCATCAAAATGTGAGTGTGCAGAATTTTTTCACGTCTGTCACGTTCCATCTTCGATAACTTTTGAACAAGTAACGTATGCGTGATAATGTTTGCACCATCGTACAAATAAGGTTCCCGTTTAACCTGTGCATACAATGCCTTGGTTTTCTTTGCATGCACGTAACCTATAGCTCACACCGTAGTAGGCTGTGTATAAAAAAAAATGATTTACTTAGTTTGACAGTCACACCATGACGAAGTGGCAGCGTATTCGTGATTTGTCCCACGCGCAAATGTCGCAAAAAGGTATTTCAATCGCCGTGGGAGTGTCCCGGTGGACCGTCAAAAGGGTTTTAGACCGAGAAAAGAAAGGGACAACTATCTGCGAAGGTGGCCACAGGTCGTCCGAGGTCAGCTGTCTGTCTGCTATCAAAAGGAAGATTCGGGTGAATCCAGTGCGTTCAATAAGGAAATGGCAAAGGAACACGGGATCAGTGACTTTACGGCACGGAAGATCGTAAAGGAAAATTGCGGGGCGAAGTCGAGGGCACGGAAAAAAACTCACATGATTACCAACCGCATCCGGGAGCTACGAGTCGAACGATGCAAGAAAATATTGAACTTCCTTAAGCGAAAAAAATCCGGTAATCCTGTTCACCGACGAGAGCAAGTTTACCGTCGATCCCGTATCAAATTCCAGAACCAACCGGTATATTAGTTCTCTTCCGGTAAAAGACGTGGCCGACGAGCACAAGAACGTGTATCTGACCAAGCATCCTGCTAGCGTTATGGTGTTTGGATTGGTGGCTTCCGATGGCAAAAAAATTGACCCAGTGTTCATTCCAGAAGGCGACAAGGTCAACACGGAGGTCTACACCGGGATTTTAAGTAAGTATGTTCTTCCAAGGATCAAAGAACAGTACGGTCCGAAGCCAAATGTTGTATTTCAACAAGATGGGGCTCCGTGCCACACCTCGAACCGCACTCAGAAGTGGTGGTCAGGAACATCTTCCGTTCTGAGCGAAGGATATGTGGCCGCCATCCAGCCCCGATCTTAATCCGCTGGATTACTCAATATGGCGCGTCATGAAGGCCAAGGCCTGTTCTAAACGCCACCCGAGTACAGCAAGCCTCAGACAAACGTTGACCCGTACCTGGAGAGAAATGGATCCAGACTACATTATTAGAACCTGCCGTGCATTCCGGAAGCGTGTGGAGGCCGTAATTGCAGCAAGTGGAAACTCGATCGATGATTAACATAGTTTAAGACTCTGAGAAACATCCCCCTTTAAATAAATAAAAAAAAACTCAAAAACGAAATTTTTGAGAATTTTTTTTTAATTTTGGCATTGCTCAATGGTGCAAACATTATCACGCATACGGTATATGAATCCTGATGATTTCACTACCATATAAACAATCCTGTCGGATTAAAACACTGTCAATAGTTTCTTGCCACGACAACTAGAGGCACTACAGTAATTAAAATGAAGCGGTCAAATACTAATTGGAACAGACTTTATCAATTGAAAAAAAAATGTCATATACTGAATAGAGGTAGAATCAGATCAGTATTGAATGTGTTTGTAAAATATCAAATAGGGTTACGGGATGTAATGTCAGCCTAGCTCCTCACTTCGGTGCAAATAAATCATTTATTCTGCAATAATACACAACAGAAATTGTTCGGATAAATGAAAGCAACTTCCTCAGAGCAGTCTTGTTTTGGACAGCTTGAAACTGAAATAGGTTTTATTATAACAATTCAGATTGGTTTAGATTTTATATTAGTTTAATAAATTTACAACAAGTTTTTCTTCACCCTCCTTTTTCAAACCGAGAGTTATCTTCCGTCACTCTTTCGACAAAGATTTGGCTAGATTCGACACAATTGGTTC